TGCCACCCCCTCCTTGCCAAGGGATCTGGGTGCTGCTGTGGCAGAGCATGGCAGGGGCAGCGTGGTGGGTGCTGGCTGGGAACGTGTTGTCTTGGCTGTGTGAGCGGGGACACTGTCCGCTCCTCGGCACTGGAGCTTCTGCCGCCTTCTCACTGCAAATGCCAGGGCTGTGCCAGGGAAACGGCCGGTCTCTTCTCTAGAAACAGGATCTTTATTTCCTTGCTCAGAAAAATAGATTCATTTAAAAATTAAAAAAAGTACTAAAAGAGTTTAAAAAGAGGGAATGATGAAAGTAGAGGCTGGAATGTCGCTGGCAGTGGGGTCTGTACATGAGATGGGGCAGGACGGGGCCAGGCGACGTCCCGCTCAGTAGCTCTCCTCCTCGCAGTAGTAGTGGTACATGGGGGGGTCCCCGCTCTGGTCGCAGGCGGCATTGGCCACCTCGCCCTGGCTGCCCTGTGGGCAGTACTTGGGGTCGTAGATCTGGCGGCCCAAGCCGAAGACCTGGCCACTCTGGTTGGCGCCCTGGTTGGAGCCCATCTGCAGCGACATGGAGGAGTTGTCGCACTTCTCCGTCCCCGTCTTGGCATCGTAGATGTGTCTCCTGGTGCCAGGAGCCGTCATGCCCACCTGGAAGGACAGAACGGAGCAGGGCTCGGCCGCGGTCCCCATCCCTCCCCATGGTGGCTGCGGTGGCTCACCTGGCTGGCACACTTGTTGGTGCCCATCTGGAGGCTGATGGTGGAGTGGTCCATGGGCGGCAGGATCTGGTTCTTGGGGTCGTAGAGGTGCCTCCGGGTACCGTAGGCCGTCATGCCAGACTGGCTGGCACACTTGTTTGTGCCCATCTGTCAAGGGCGTCCGGTGAGGATCAAGTGCTGCCCCACATGTGCCCCTTCTCCTCCCTCTCATCCCTCTGCAGCCAGTGGGGCACAGCCAGCGGTCCCCAACCCAGCCCAGGCGCAGCCTCTCTGGGCACCCAGACATTGAGTGCCAGGGTCCAGACACGGAGCCGA